TTCTCAGGCCCCCCCCCCCCCCGCAGCCTCCAGCCTTTTCCCCCCCCCCCCCCCCCCCTTAAATAACCTGTTCAGGCTCCTCAGCAAGGAAGAGGGGAGCTCGGCTCAGTTCCTCAAACCTAGTCTTTGAAAAAGATTTTCTCATGAATATGCCAATAAATTTTACTTTGCAGAAATGGCGTTATGGACCATTAATAAAATACAGGAAGAGTAGGAACCACTCAGCAGTGCTGCTCTGCAGTGATTAGCTACTGACAATAACAGCGTAGATAAATCACATGTATGAACACACACCCTTGAAGTGAAGGCCAGAAAATTGCATAGATACAGGCAGAGCTCTGGGGAAATATAATTCCCCTTCCTGCAAAGCTCTCTTTTCATAATCTTTTTGAAAGAGATACGTTTATTTATGCATTTTACATACCCATTGCTCAATATTCTGCAAATGGCATTCCTGTTGCAGAAGTGACTGAGCCTGAGCTATGGCTCATCCATTAAATGCTGAAACCCTAGGAACACGAGCATCAGGACCAGCCCAAAGCATTGGGCGACCTGAAGCCAAGCCTAAGGTAAACCCTTCCCTGCCATCTCTACTAAGCCACAATAATGTCCTCCTCCTCAGCTTCCCACATTCTGTCACTCAAGTCTGGCCTGGGCCATCTAGGCTAGGGAGCTTCTGTGGGGACAATGGACCAAAATCTGGCCTCTTTACTCCTAATCCAAAACTTTAATCATGAAGCCAGGCTTACTTCTGCTTCATTTCTTGGTTGCCATTCAAGCGGGAGGGGACAGAGCATGGGGGAGGGGTGGGGCTCAGGAATATGGCGCCTCAGCCAACTAGCCACAACATCTACCAGCTGGCATGTGAAGCCAGGTCATTTCAAGGGACACTTGTTGAAGTTGAGTGAGAACCTACAACGTGACTGATTGACCCATGTGACCTGAGAAACAAAAGGGGACGGGGAGGTCTCATTCTTTGAACTATCCCTAAGCGAGGGAATAATTTAGGGATAGCTTCACCTTTCTAAGTGCTGATATGATGTACTTAAGGGTCTCTTGAACCTGAACCTGAAGTGTCAGAGTCCTGACTTCCCTGAGTTCATTACTCAGGGAACGATGACAAAGGCCTCTGAATTGACGTCTAGCTTTTTCAGGAGGCCTTTGAAGAAAAATCCACAATAAATATGGAGATATTATTGTTGTTACTGTTTTATGATTTTAAATGCATCTTACATTATTATTCTATATTGTACTGTGAGTGACTTTAATTTATATATCTGTTAGTGCTTTAGAGTAAATGGTCTATAGTTTTTAGTGAATAAATCATAACACTTATTGAAAACAATGTGAAGTTAGTATAGCATACAACTCAAGAAATGACAAAGTGTAGACCCCTTATCTCAAGATAAGAACAATTTCAACTGATCAGAAATATATTAACAGTATAATTCCTACCCACCCCAACCGATTACAACTCTGGGTAACTGAGTAGCTATTTCTGCACAAAGTGCAGCAATAAAATACTATAAAATAAATAACCAGATGTCTGGGGGGGGAGCAATCATTTAACACAGAACATCAGAAAGAGATCACCTGCACTAAGCCAACCTCTAGGGATACAGCCAGGTTTAAGTGACTTTAAAAAAAATAGGACTGGAAGGCTGGGGTATGAATCTGTCTTTTAGAAGGAAAGTTTTCTTGTGATGGGTGACAGAGAACAACTTGGCTTTACAAAACAGAACATTTAACCATGTGAGTAGAAATGCCAGTGACACTTGTAAGATGTGTGAAAGATGGAATACTTAGGAATTATACAACTCAGGTCATGGAGGTAGAAATATTTAGAATGAAAGATATACAGAAGACATGGCTCCTAGAGATGGATGTGGGATGAACGAGGCCACAGTGTTCTGATGGCAAGAACTGATGAGAGACAAAGTACTCATTTTTATGGATTGGATACTTTTTTTTTTTTTGGAAGATGTAAAGCGGTGTTGGGACTGTACTTCTTTGGAGCATATCATCCTGTGCCTGATGGACAAAACCCAAACGAAATTCTTCTGGAACTTGGTTTAGATTAATTTTGAGAGTAGTAGATGAATGAGTGGAGCTTTTCATTCAAAACATGAACCATAGAAGTTGCAAACCTCCATGTTTAGGGTTGTCATCAAGAATTTCTGTAGGATTCTCAGTATGACCCAGCTGTGACTAATTTACATGAGAAGATGATATCTGATTTGTTTTTCACCAAAGGAGAAATGTAACAACCAAATAGGCTGCCTGTAGCAATTACCTCTTGTCAAAACAGCTCTATCATCTGTGTTCACAGCCAATTAAAAGTGCTGATTAAAACTTAGGCTTCTTCTCTTAGACAGAATTAGGTGATTTTGTAAACTGAATCATTCTTTACAATTCACTTCCAAAACCTTTCCACCCTATCACCACATCTATGGAGCTCTGAAGAATGGTTACTCCGAGGCTTTTGATAGTTGTCAGGGAAAGCCACAATTTTCAACCAGTGCAAGGACTTAAGACTTAATAAATTTTAGACTTGAATTGATGATATTATTCCTTCTGGCCCTGAATACTAAGGAAAGATTGGGTGAACTTCAATTTCACCTTGAGGAATGGCTGGCACACACCTATACATTTGTTGATTGGGAAGGAAAGGATAAATCAGTAGGGATCCACCAAGAATAGTAAAATTTTACATTTTAGTGATGGCTGTAATACTTAACAATCCCATTGAGTTTCATTTCCCCCAAAGTAGGCTTTTGGTAGGAGAAGCTCCAGGCTGCAAGTTTTAATCGGGCATTTGGTTAAACCAAAACCTTTAGTTTCATCTGGAATTATCACAAATCTCAGAGTTTGCAAGATGTTTATATATATATAATAAGATGTTTAAAAGCACAACTACAATGACGTGGGAAAATACCCGAACAAAGCTGAATGCCATATATATATATATATAGGATTTAATTAATTATAGATTGTTGTTTCTTTTCTTTTTTAAAATGAAACATCCTCTGCTTGGAATCGTTTTTAGTAATGCACTTGAGGGATTGAAAAAAATAATATGTGACTACATAAATTAGAGCTTTGACTGAAACTTCGGTTTTAGAATGTTGTAACCCAGTGACAACAAAAAGCTATTCACTTGTATCATTTGGATTTAATGTTTGAATTATAAATTTACTCGAAAGAGAACAAATCTGCCAGGGCCTTTCTTTGGAAGCGGGCAGGCAGCACAGAAATATTGGTTATCAGTACAAAAAAAAGCCAAAAGCCAAAACCCGACAGCCAACACTCGTTCTCGACCGCCTCCTCTGCGATTCTTTGGACAAAGCGCTGCTCGCCTCACGCTTCTGGCCCACGAAGCGTCTCCTTCGCCCTCTGACTCGGTGGGGGTAACGGGCCAAAGCCCCGGAAATGGGCTCCGTGGCCTGGACGCGAGCATCACGGGAGAGCTTTTTGCCCTAGGAGCCTACTGACCGAGAGAAAAGGGGACGCGCGTGTGTGTGAGAGAGATACTCTTAAATCCCGAATCTCGCCACTGCTCTAGATACCATGTGTCGCTTCAGGTGCAGGATTGGTGCCGGGCGCCATTTGAAAGGGGCTTCCCAATTCGATAGCCTTGCGCTCCAGACTGGATCGGGTTATTTCGGAATACTATCGGAATGGTGGGGCTTTCACTCACCACCGAGCGAAAAACATTTGGGCAGAACTCGCAAAAACGCGAGAATGGCCAACTGCCGGAAGGAACCTTCCCCTTGCCGGGTAGCCGTTCAAGAGGGTTGATCAGGGTTGATCTGGAAGGAAGTCTCACCCAAGACGCCCTTGGCTGAGACTCGAGGGATCCCAAAATCCTTCCTTGTGTGGCTCCAGGGAGCCGGGATTTG